CCCCAAAACCCCAAAACCCCAAAACCCCAAAACCCCATATAATTGGCTCAACGTTGAAAGGATTTTGGCTGGAATTAAAATGATGGTTGGAATGACTTTATCTGCTTTTTCAAACCTAGCAAATCCATTTTATGCACTGAAATGACAGTCATGTCTTCAGATAGCAAAGCGTCATAAGCGATTTTTCCATTAAAGGTGTCAATTGGTATTTTATCAATCGAAGTGATTTGCTCAAGAGAACACTTAAATACCTCTCCAAAATAGTAATTTTCCTCATCTTTTGCTAAAATCCTATCACATTTCAAAATGCCAGGTGATTGGAAACATATATCAAACTGATATATCTCATCTTGCTTCAAAAACACCGAAATTTTGTTAAAAATCTTCATACTGTTATCCTCACTTCTACTAATCTTTCTTACTGGAAGAGTTATGGCTTCCCTCTCTAAATCTTCATCAATTGGAGGGTAAAGCTCTAGCCCATGGAAATCAGGGTAGACCTGCTTCACCTTCTCAAAGCCTGTACCACAAAGGGTCTCCAAGAGAGCTAGCAGCCCTGTGTTACAAATAAATTCCATGTTGATGATCTTAAGTTTCTTCGCAAAGACTAGATCAGGATTCCTCAGGATTTCATAGAAGAAAGCCTCCCATTTGTAGATTGGATCTGAGTTATTTAGAGAAGAACATGTCTAATACTTCAGTGTCTTCTAGAATGTTTGGGAAGTTTCTGATCGTTGTAGTGAAGTCTGAGAAATCCATTTCATCTTTGATGATGAAATATGAGATAAGAGAACTTGCATTGATCAAGTTTAGGTTGAGTGAGAATACACCTGCTCTTTTGATAATGTATTGAATTTATCTATGAGCTCTCTTTTTCATTAGCAATGGATTAATAAAACCTGTATCCATGGAATTGCAAAAAGTAACTTTGAAGTCTGCCAAGAAATCGCTTCGAGCCTCAACTTCTGAAGATGTAGTCACTTTTAGATAAGGGTATTCAAAAAGCTCAGGTTTCGTCTTTTTAAGGAAAGAGACAATATTAATATCATTTGAAATCCCAAAAACAATAGAATTTATATTTAGGTATCTAATATAGTTCTTTCCTTGTAACTCAGCTTCTGCACCCGTCAATTTGTTGAGTTCAAATTGATCTTTATCACAAAGCTTCCCAGACTTCTTTTTCTCTAACAATTTTCGAATTCTTCCTTTTACAACAGTAAGCTGCAAGAGAGGATTGCACATTTTGTCAGGATTCAGAGGGTCAACAGAAGTTCTGTTTATCTTGATATCTTTCATTTCTCTTTTCCTCAGACTCACACAAAGAGTCTTTAGATTGATAGCTTGTTTGCGATGATGAATTTTAATCTTGATTTCAAAGAATCTCATATGAGGCTGAGATAAATACTTCTTTAAGTTTCTTCGACGGTATAGGTAGCAGATAAGAGGCTTCTTTGATCATTCCAGCAGAAAGCAGGGTTCATAAGCTTTGATAATCCTATTTGTGGATTTATTTAACTGAGACAGAATCAGATATACTTGATCCATGTGGCCAAAGTATTTAAACACATGAAGAAGCAAAGGAGCTGATCAAATTGATCCAAATGTAAGAACCATTTTATTAATTATTCACGATATTGTATCATTTAAGCATTTTTCATCAACTGATAGAGCACAAGCAGGGGTTTTGGGGTTTTGGGGTTTTGGGGTTTTGGGG